AGGAACTGCCGTCCGAGGTATCGATCTGCCATTTCCTGTGGCCGGTATTACTCCCTGGTCCTCACACTGAGTCCCTCCCGAAGGTCACAGGCGTCCAGACTTCAAAGCCACGGGTCTGGTGAAAGACGGTCTCCCCACCGCCTCACGGGAGGGGAAGCCCCGGCAGCCCCGCAGGCCAGTGCGTCCTGCCCATCACTCAGCCACGCTTCTGGGCCACAGACCGCCAAGCGCCCATGTGCTTCCTCAACAAAGAGAGGCAGCCCCCCGTACCCCTGCTCACCCCGCTGGACCCCGCTCCCCCCACTCGCTCCACCTCTCCCCTCCCTTAGTGCTCCTCTTGGAAGCTGCCTTACCCTCAAACTAAGAAGCTGAGCCCCATCGAATCCCAGCCCTGGTGTGGGCACTGTGAGATTCTGTTCTGCGACATGACCGAAATGAGCCTGTAAGATGCAGATTTATCAAAATGAAAACAGATGAGATGCTTGGACATTTTATTCATGGGCAAAAATCATTTATTTAAGGAGGTTGGAGCAACAGTACAGCGGGAAGGGTGTCTGCCTTGCACATAACCAACCTGAGTTCTAACCCGGGCATCCCATATGGTCCCCGAGCACCACCAGGAGTGATTCCTGAGTGCAGAGCCAGGAGGAACCTGTAAGTACCTGCAGGTGTGACCCAAAAAGTTTTAATTTAAAATTTCTTAGTTCAAGTTCTCTTTCTTTGGCCACACACAGACGTGCTCAGGGCTTCCAGCTTACTCCTGGTGGTGTTTGGGGGACCCTTTGGGAGAGTCACGGGAGCACCTTGTCAGCTTACCAGTTCCAGCCCTCACGGTCTCACCTTTGGAAAGACACAGTGGGAGCCACAGAACAGAGGGTGAAATGCGTGCCTTGCACACAGCCCACCCAGGCTGATGCCCCGGCCCCAAGTCTGCCAGGACTGATCCCTGGGCACAGAGTCAGAAGTGCTGATCACAGCCAGATGTGATCCAAAACCCAAACTACTATTCGAGACACAACAGAGGAGCCTGGGCTCTATACTGTGAGCCCCAGCCAAAAGCAGTCAAAAACAGACACACTGTAGCACTCACTGTCCCTGCAAGGAGCCCCGTAGCACAGCAGGATTCAGGAACACAGTATCCAGGCAGGGATACACTTAAACCTTCACCCAGCTCTGCAGGGAACCTTTGCCCACAGCAGAGCGCGTGGCTCCCAGCTGGCAGCCTCTCTGCTCCTCGACCTTGCAGACAAGGGTCAAGTTTACCAAACCCTGGAGCACGCCAGCTCATCCGACCCTGAGGGGACTATGCGGCCGCCTCCTCCCCACCTCCATCATCCAGCTTGCCTAGAATCAAAGTACTATAATTTGCGCAATGAAATGATGGACGTATGAGCCGAGATAAGCATCTTTCAACAGTTAAGTATTTCACTAGCGAGTTCTCAGGAACTGCTGGAGATTCTGGTGCCAGAAAAATAAAAACTGTACGATGGTTCTCCTGGCAGGTCAGCAAGGGATGCCCCGATGGGCCTGCAGTGGTCAGAAGGCAGTGGCCTGGCCAGTCAAGGCGCTGACCTCCCCCACCTGGGAGGAGGACATAGAGATGAGCTTCCAGGGAAGGGAGACAGCTCAGAGGGCAAAGTGCATGCCGCCGTGTTTGTGCAAGGTCCCAAGTTTGATCCCCAGTACCTCCAGGGAGAGGTGCCAAGCACTGGCGTGCCCAGCCTTCTCCCCAGGGCTCCTCCCCACAGAACACCAGAAGGTAGAAGAGAAGGTGCGATCCTCAGCACCCCATATGATCCCTCAAGCCATGCCAGGAGTGACCCTGCACACAGCGCCAGGAGTGAGTCCTGAGCACCACTGGGTATAGTCCAAATGAAAAAAGTAATTCCTAAAATGTTGATCGTTCTTATCACCCACACTTAGAACCAACCTCACAGCTATACACAGAAACATCTGAAGAGGGGCTGGAGCAACAGCACAGCAAGTAGGGCATTTGCCTTGCAGACAGCCAACCCAGGTTCTATCTCCAGCAACCCATACGGTCTCCCGAGCACTGCCAGGGATGATTCCTGAGAGCAAAGCCTGGAGTTACCCCCAACCGTCACCACCCCACCCCACCAACCAACCAACCTCCCCAAAAGAGAAGCACCTGGAAGAATTAGTTGTACTTGTCTGGGCAGTCACTTCTGACCCTCCTCTCCTCCACATCAGCATAACTGAGGTCTGACTGCACTATTCCCACTTCTCTCCAATGCCGCCCTCCCCGCTCCCCTGCACAACTCCCCGCCTACTTCTCCTGCGTGACCCACTTGAGTCAGACCCACCCACTCCCCCACCATCTCCACGAAAATTTCAAACCAAAGAGGTCCGTGCACACCCCAAGTTGCCGAGTGCCAGCAGTGACCTGAGTGAGGCGTCTGACCCAAAGGCGCATCCCAGCGCCCTCACCCCCCATCTCAACTCCTTCAAGGCAAGACCAAGGCGTGATGTTAAAGACATGCTCTATGGGGCTCCACCAAGCACGGTCCCGCGCCTTCCTCTGGCAGGCAAGTGCGTTTTTCTGGCTCCGTTACTGAGGCCCAGAGAAGTCAGGAGGCTGCTGAGGACGATGCAGAGCTGAGCTGAGGGGGTGGCAGGGTCTGCCCGGGGCTCACCGCTCCCACGCTCCTGCCGGGAATGCGAAGCGCACACCTGGACTGGCTAGAAACTCAGCACCTCACCCTCCTTGGCGACTGTCCGGTGTTTGCTTTTGTGGAGAGGGGTCACGTCCTGGCTCTGCATTCAGAGAACCATATGGACCGTCGGGGATGCACCCGGTTGGCAGTGTGCGTGGCCAGCGCCCTCCCTGCCTGCCCTCCCCGCCCTCCCCGCTGTCCTATCGTGGACTGCCAGGCCAGGGCAGAGCGCACGGCCCGCGGCCAGGACAGCGTCTTCGCCAGAGCTCTGGCTCGCCTCCCCTGCCCGTGCCCGCCCCTTGCATTTCCGCCTGTGGCTCCAGAACCTGCCAAACGGCTTTGCTGGCAATTGTGTGGGTCTGACAGGTTCCCCAAGTGAGCAGAAACTATTTTCTTAAGGATGCACCTTGCAACTAAATTCCCAAGCCCTGTTTTAAACTCTACCAACAAATAGGCCAACAGCCATCCAGGCTTTCTTAGCAACTGCTGAATACAAGCAAAGAAAGGCCTTTCTTTCCGTTAGAAAAGTCTAACAATGTCAAGAAAGTCACTTTCACTTGTAAATAGCCAAAACCTTTCACCTGAATTTAAAGCCCCTTCACAATAGAAATAACCACACTCCAAGGCAAAATAAAATCAGAATCTTTTACCTTTCTCTTTCCCCGAAATAAAGGATTTGGTGCCAGAATTCATAGAGTCTCACCAACCTACGAAGTCATATAATGCCCCTTTCATCGGGGCAAAAATCTTCCACTCCTAAGAGCCCAAGGATTCTCTCACAAGACACAAGTTCTTCCAAGAGCCCTGGAGTGGCCCCCCCCCACCCCCCTGGAAAATCTGGGCCTTAACTGGGCAGAGCACAGAAGAGAAGCTGCCTCCACAATCAGTGCTTCTGTGTGTGTGCATGTGTCTGCTTCAACACACGAACACGCTGTGACATATTAACACCAGCTCTGAGGAAGAAGGGCTGTCAAGGAGAGGAAGTCATCTGGGAAAGGCTCCAGGAAGAGTGAAAGCTGGCACTGAGCAAGCACAGGGGGTAGGATGTCAGGCTTGCACACAGCTGACCCGAGTTAGATCCCTGGCACTGCACAGGGTGCCCTGAGCCCACCAGGAGTCAACCGTGAGTTCCGCCAGGTGTGACTCAAACACTGAAAAATTAAGAAATAAGTGAGGTGCTGGATTCATCGACATCTCCAAAAGGCATCTCTCTGCTCAAGGTCCCACGCATAGAGAAGGGCCGGGAGCGGTGACGGAGCCCCAAAGTTATGCTTCTCCTAATAAGGCAAGTACTTAAAAGACAAAAACTGCACCCACAACGCTGCCTTGAGAAAAAATAAATAAATCCGCGGGCCAGAGAGCTGGTGCAGGAGGGAAGGGGCCAGCCTGGAGCAACGCCCTCTTTGGCCGCCGGCCTGGGTCAATCCTGGCCTCAGGTCAGGACGAAGTCCTGAGCAAAGCCGTGGCCCAAAGGCCAGGAGGAGGGAGGACTGACAGAAAACAGAAACACAGACCTGAAAAGCAAAGAGTAGAGGCACCCCGGCGCCCTGGGTGGGGAGGGGCCACCCGTCTGGGTTCGGGAGCCCGCCCGGCCTCCGGGCCCAGGGCAGCTGAGCGGCTGCCGGGTGGACGGGACAGAAAACGCCGGCCGGGTTCGACCGCGTGGCCCCACCTCTGCCAGCTGCTCCGGGCTTCGGGGCGTTTCCCGCGCCGCCCCCCGCCCCAGCCCCCGGGACCCCCACGCCCGGGAGAAACTTTCTCCTTCAAGGGTCGCCCAGATTCCCCCTCGGGCCGCGGGCGCCCGACCCACCCGGGCCCGGGAGATCAGATACCAAACTCCTAAAAATAGGGGTGTCAGGGCGCGAGGACACACCCCGCGCCCGCTGCCAACGCAGCTGCGCCGCCGGGAGCGCGGGGCGCGGGACCCCGCTCGGGTGACGGCGCGCGACCCGCCGCCCGCCGTCCCTGCCGCCCGCCGTCCCCGCGGTGTCCCGCAGCCTGCGGTCCCCGGCGCCCGCCGCCCGCGGTCCTGGCGCTGCCCGCGGTGTCCCCGCCGCCTGCGGTCCCCGGCGCCCGCCGCCCGCGGTCCTGGCGCTGCCCTCGGTGTCCCCGCCGTTCCCGCCGCCCGCGGTCCCCACCGTCCCCGCCGTCCCCGCCGCCCGCCGTCCCAGCCGTCCCCGCTGCCCAAGGTCCCCGCCGTCCCCGCCGCCCGCGGTCCCCGCCGCCCGGTCCCCGCCGCCCGAGCGCCGCGGCCCGCGCCATAGGCCCCGAGCCCCGCCGCCGCCGCCGCCCCGCGCGCCCCGCGGCCCGCGCCCCCGCCCGTACCGAGGCTGCTGGTGGACGAGACGTGGTTGGCCGCGGCGCTGGGCTCGCTGGCCGGCCGCCGGCGCCGCAAGCCCGGGAGCGGCGGCTGCCTCCGCGCGGCCTCGGCCCCCTCCGCCATCTTGCTCTGATTTAAAATTAACTCCCCGTGACGTCAAACGCCGCCGCCGCTTTATCAAGCGCCCGGGGGCCGGCGCGGCGCCCGCCGGTCCTAGCGCCGCCCTCCGCCGCGCCTCCGGGCCCGCCCGCGCCCCGCCCCCGCCCCGCCCCGCGCCCGCGCCGCGCGCCCGGGCGCCGTCGAAGCCCCGCCCCCGACACTCCTCCGACACGCCCAAGCCGACCTGGCACCGCCCCCTGCGTCCGAGCCCCGCCCACCCCGGCCTCGGGTGTCGCGGCTCTCCCCGCCTCCACCCGCGGCCGCCCGGCCGAGCCCCCGGCCGAGCCTCCCACGGCCCCACTCGGGCCACACCCCCTTGTAAGGCTGGAGTAGTTTCTCGCTCTTGTCTCGTTACCCCGATTTTTAACGCTATTTTTTTCCTTTGGCTTTCGGGCCACACCCGGCGATGCTCGGCGCTCACCACTGGCTCTGCGCTCAGAGATCCCTCCCCGCGGTGCGCGTGGGCGCCGGGGATCGAACCCCGGCCGGCCGCGTGCGAGGCAGGTCCCTGCCCCCTGTAACCCAGTTCTCTTTGCATCTCTTCCGCGTGCTCGTGGACTCGCGCGCAGCACCTGAGGCTGCTCTCTCGCGCCCGCTCTCGCGCTGTCCCACCCCACCGCAGAGCTCTTCCCCGGGGGCAAAAGCCCTACTCGCTGTTCTATCGCTCCAGCCCCCGAGACCCTCCCCACCCTTGCCAACTGCACACCACTGGCGCCTGGCACTGGCCGGAGGACACCAAGTTTAGATCAGTACTTGTTGCTGGTCTTTCCTTGCAGTGGCAGATTCTTTGGGGGCCCCTGGACCGCCTCTAGAAAGTTCAGGACGCTATGAGGGAGGCCTGCATGAAATCTGATTCCAATTCTATGATTTGCCCAGGTCATCAGCTGCATTCAAAACCCTTTTCTCCAGAAAAGAGAGAATCCAGACCACACCTTTGACCTCACCTGGTCACTGGGAAGTGAGGGTGTCAGGACGCTTGCAGCTAGGCATTGTGGTGGGCTAGTGGTTTATTCGTGGTTTTTGTCTTCTAATTCTTCTTGAGCCCACTGCATCCTGGCAGTAGCTGAGTAGGCCCCAGGACATAGCCTTCCCTGGTGGTGATTTCCATCTTCAGTTTCCCTAAAGAACTTTGTTCTCTCTCTCTCTCTCTCTCTCTCTCTCTCTCTCTCTCTCTCTCTCTCTTCTTTTTATCTGCTTTTTTTGGTTTTGTTTTGGGGCCACACTCAGCCATGCTCAGGGCTTATTTCTGGCTCTGTGCTCAGGGTATTGCTGAGTACCTTGTGGGACTCAGGAGACTACATATGGTAACACCCACAAGGCAAGCACCCTCCCTTTCCCTATACTATCTCTCCAGCCCCTCTCCCTTCACTTTTTGATCTAACCAATTACTTTTGCTACTTGGAGGTGCTGAGGAGACAGATAAGGATAAAGGGAAACCACAAATGGTTTCCTGGGTTTTCTCTTGCCACAACCCCCCCGTGTCTGCCTGTCTGTCTCTCTCTCTCTCTCTCTCTCTCTCTCTCTCTCTCTCTCTCTCTCTCTCTCCAGTGCCCTCACTAGCATCTTCTATCTAGGAGATCCTCGAAAATCTGTTTGGAGGGAACGAATGGAAGAATGGCCGGCGATTCTGGTTCTAGCCCTGGTTCACCAAATGCTGCCAGATGCAAAATTCTCCGTGTCTAGAACCAACCCCAGAACAGAATTCTGAAGTCAAGGAATACTGAGTGCCTTCAGACTGCAACTAGCTCACTTGTAGGGGATCCTCACTGTCCCCCACACAGGGCACTTCACAGACTAGGCACTTCACAGTCCCAAGAACTAAGTGCTGTTGCCATTCTCCTCTCTCCTGCAGTGAGGAACAAAGGCACCAGGAGTTCAAAAGTCCTAGAGGGGAAGCCAGAAGGAGAGGAGGGGGTGAAACTCCTCACTTTTCATTTGCAGCCAGTCCCAGTTCAATACCTAGCACCAGATAGAGCCCTGGAGCACCACCAGGATGACTGAGCACAGACCCAGGAGTAAGCCCTGAGCAACTCTGGGTGTGGCCCTCCCAAAAGCTACACGATGAGACAGAAAATGATGTTTGCTTTTCTGATTCGGCTCAGCTCAGGTCTCTGATGTGAAATAAAATGCATTTAAAGCATGAATTAGCCCCAAGCAGCAGGACTGTAATTGGGCCAATTACCCCAATTGCAGGCTAGCAATTGGGTCCCAAAGTCCCCCCAGCCGTGATGGGGGGAATTCCTGGCAGGAAGAATGCACAGTTTACTCATAGCAAGTACAATGGACTCTGCCTCAGTTGGTATAAATTATATTAAAAACTCTTTCTGCCAACTAACTTTAAATTCTTCAAAACCTATTAAAATGGTCTGAAGTCATCCACAGACAATTTTAAAAAGAGAGAGAGAGATAAAAATGGAAATTACACATGTTCCAGTTCAGTCATGCTAAGAGACACAGTAATGGGAACACCCAGATACCACCGCTGCCCATAATCCTGGCGAAACTGCCAACTTGCCAGCTTCAGCTTCTGGGGACTCTGTTGGTGAGGCTGCAGGGAGAGGCGGGCATGTCCCTTCCCCGCCCCCCCACGGAGATGCAACATGCACTTGCCCTGACAGAGAGGAAGGAATCTCCCGGGCTGAGACTCAGATCACTGTCCCCTGAGAGGCAGCAGGGGTCCCGTGGAGACGACAGATTCCAGGGTAGAGACAAGCCATTTCCAGAGCAGCGTTTCTGTGGCAAATTTACAGAAGGACTCCAAACAGCAAACTAGAACAGAGAAGACACACGGTCAGCCTGAAAGGCTCCCACTGGCCGCGTCTGAAACAATGAGCACCAAGACAATGTAGGCTGATAGCTCTAGGTCTTCAGGGAAATCGGGATCAAGGAATCTATCCCGGTGATGATGATGATGATGGTGATGGATATGGATGGGTGGGCAGGTGGGCGAGTAGTTGGATGGACAGATGGATAAGTCAACTAATGGATGAGTGGGTGGATGGATGGATGGATGGATGGATGGATGGATGGATGGGTGGATGAACGATGGATAAGTCAATGGATGGATAAATGGATGGGTGGGTGGATGAGTGGGTGAGTAGATGGATGAGTGGATGGGTAGGTGAGTGGACAGATGGATAAGTAGACGGATGGATAGATGGATGGGTGGGTGGATGGATGGATGGATGGGTGGATGAACGGTGGATAAGTCAATGGATGGATAAATGGATGGGTGGGTGGATGAGTGGGTGAGTAGATGAATAAGTGGATGGGTAGGTGAGTGGACAGATGGATAAGTAGATGGATGGATAGATGGATGGGTGTGTGGATGGATGGATGGATGGATAGATGGATGGATGGATGGATGGATGATAAAGACGCGAAGGGAGGATTCTGTGGTCAGCATCATGCTGAGTTTCCCAGGTGAGCAGGAAGACCAATTCTGGCACTGGAACATTGTCATCATACAGTAGAGTTCAGACAAGACTCAGATCTCAGAATGGGATGACAAGAAGGGTCTTTGCATGCCTTCACCTTTCTTCTGTGCTGCTTATCAATCACCACCGAGAAGAGGAGGCCACGGAGTGAGGTGATCGCAGAGATGCTCGCCTGAGAGGTCACAGTATCCCCAGTAGAACTGGGGATGGGCTGAAGCTCACCGGGCAGGAGGCCAACTCATGTGTCTGCGTGGTTTGGGCTCTCACTTTGTCGGGGCATCTCTGCTTTGTTATTGGCCTGAAAAAGTGGTTAAAAGAAAAAAGACTAGAAAAAAGGTATAAAGTGGGTTGGGGGGTTGTTGTTTTGGGGGTGTTGTTATTGTTACTTATTTTTTAGTCTTCTCCTAGCTCTGTGCTCAGGGCTCACTCCCAGCTCTGTGCTCAGGGATCACTATTGGCTCTTTGCTCTGGGGTCACTCCTGGCTCTGTGCTCTGGGATCACTCGTGGTAGGGCTCAGGGGACCATTTGCAGTTCCAGGGATCTAAGGGCTGGGGGGTGGGGGTGGCGGGAAGCCCCCTGTCAGGGAAGTGGCTTCTTCACAGCTGGATTTGGAATGAAGGTCACAAAGCCCCCTGGAGAGTCTCCTGACCGAGACCTGAGCTGAGCCGGATCAGAAAAGCAAACATGGCCTGAGAAAACTGCTCTCTGGGCCCCTCAGCGGAGGGCGTTCCCGACACTCTACCCTGGGGAGAATTCAGGAGCGATGGGAAACCCACTGGCCGGGAAATGCATGTTTCGGCCTCTTTGAAGATGGGGATCATGTCTACACCAGCCTCCCAACAATCAGCCTGTTTCCTTGACTCCTGGAGAGCAGCCAATCCTTTATCCGCTCACACCCAAGCTTTCTTCTGACACCCCCACCCCCACGCTGGCTCCCTGGCAGCACAAATGTCCCCCCCGACAGCGCCCTCAGAATTCTCCATCCCTGAGGTGACCTCTATTTATTTGCACATGCACACACACACTCACACATGTGCACACACAACACCACATGTGCACACACACCATATGCACATACAACACACACATGCACACATAACACACACGCACCCATGCACACACAACACACACACCACATGCACATACAACACACTCTCACACATGTGCACACACAGCGCACATTCACACCACGTTCACGCCCAACACACACATGCACTCCACACTCACATCACAAGCACACACTCATCCATACGCTCTCACGCACATGTGAGCACACACACATGAACACATACACGCTCATACACAGGTGTGTCACATACACCCTAAGTGCCAGTGCAGAGGTAGTGTGGACCTAGTCCAGGGTCCCAGCACCCACATTTTCTCAGGGTCCAGTTTTCTTCCTGTCCATTTCCCCACGCCAGGAAATGCTACCCTTGTGCTGCTTCCCAGTTCGGGGAAAGCAGGGTCCTGGGTTGGGGGTCCTGGGCCAGGGTACTGGGCAGGGGCGCTGGGCGAGGGCACTGGACTGGGGAGTTGGACAGGGCACTGGGCAGGGACACCGGGCAG